CTTTTCCAAGGATTGGTCCTTCCTAGCCATGTACCCAAAGTATGCTAGACAGAGCTTCAAAATCCTAGCCTCCAATGAGAAACTTGGTTTCATCCTCTCCAAGGCAGACCTATTTGTTTTATTGGCAATCCAACTTGGAAAAATAGATCAATGAAATATAGAAAGATCGTCTACATGATGGATGGATACAGGGACTACAATAATGGATTTTAAACATAGCAGAGATTGTGAAAATGGTGCAAGATTGTACAATGTTTTGATCTGTGTACATGGCGTTTCTATGAGTCCGATTCAACTTAATGGTGTCTAGCACCAATAATATGTTCAAGAGAAAGTTTAAAAATATCTCCTGGCATTAATTTGGGTCTTTTCTTATCTACCTTTTAAATAACTTTTCACTTTCTTCATGTACTTAGAATTTTATTTTTCTGTAGCTTTGACTGCAGCATAAAAACAGTTGATGATCTCTTCCACAGTCACCCCTGGCCTTGTTCCCCCTGAAGTATTCAGCTTTTCCAGTTCCCCATTCCACAGATGTAGTTGATTTTTTTCCTGTGTATTCCATCTAGTGTGGTCTACATGTATAGTAACTATATTGTTGAAAATAAGGTATTTGCAATGACCAAGTCATTGATCTTACAAAAATCTCCCAAGCAATCTCTGGTATTATTTCTATCACCAGGGCCCGATTTCCAACTATAGGCCCTCGTTTTTCACACTTCAATAACTAGTAATTATCAATGCACCTTGATGACATAACTGATTTCATAGAAATAGAAATAGGTAGAAACCTTCATTTTCTTTTTCTCTGACATTAGTGCATGGTGGATAAATTTGCGTAATAATCATAGAAACTGATCTTCCTTACAGGGTTACATAAATTATTCTGTCATGGACAGAATTCTATTTGAGGACAAATATTGAAATGTTATTTTTACAATGAATATAATGCCATTTTTCTTCAATTCATAATCCTTACTATGGTTGTTATTGTTGTTGTGTGTCATTGAGTCGGTACCAACTCATAGCTGACCTTCCAACAAGTTTTCAGAGGCAATAAATTACACAGGAGAAGATTGTTCATCCTTCTTCCAAGGAGTTGCTGGTGGATTCAAACACTTGCCTTCAGGATTGCAGAGCAGCTTCTCAACACTAAGTCACCACCAGAGCTCCTGTGGTAGACAAATTATTTCCTAATTAAAAATTACCAATAGTAGCCAATTTCAGCTCATTAATGTCTGTTGTCATTGTTGTTGTTGTTTTTATGTGCCATCTAGTTGCTTGTGACTCATAGCGACCCTATATACAACAACCCTGAATCCTTATCTATCCTAAGCCAAACTTGTTGTCTCTGACACACCTACCCTCATTACCCCAGTCACTGAATCAATCCATCTCATCAAAGATCTTCCTCTCTTGCTCTGTCCCTTCACCCTACCAAGCATGACATCCCTCTCCAAGGATTGTTCCCTCCTTGTAACGTACCCAAAGTATTTGAAACAGAGCTTCAGAATCCTTGCCTCCAAGGAGCAGCCTGGTTTCACACTCTCCAGGACAAACATGTTTGTTTTCTTAGCAGTCTATGGTATATTCAGTACTCTTCTTCAACACCAGAGCTCAAAGGCATCAATTCACCTAGTATCATCCCTAGTCATTGTCCAGCTTTTTGATGCATAGCAAGTAATTACAAAGACCATGGCTTGGATTGGGATTATCTTAGTTTCCAGATTGAATCATCGCACTTCAGTACTCTGGAGAAGTCCCTTACAGCAGACTTTCCCAATATAACTCATCTTTTGATTTCCTGGCTGCTGGTACAAAGTGTTGATAATGGAATTAAGTAAACTGACACTGTTAACAATCTCAATTTCTTCACTGTCTATTATGATGTTGCTTGTTGGCCCATTGGTGAAAATAATTGTTTTCTTTATGTTGAACTTCAATTCATATTGAAGGCTGTGGTCCTTGACCTTCTACTGCAAATGCCTCAGGCTCTCCTCAGTTTCAGCAAACAAGGTTGTGTTATCTGCATAATGTAGGTTGTTGATGAGTCTTCTTCCAATCCTGATGCCACATTCCTCCTCACAGAGTCCAGCCTCCCAAATGATTTGTTCTGCATATAGATTGAAAATGTATGGAGATAGGACACATCCTATTTTGCACCATGCAGTGATTCCTTGCTTTGTTCTGATGACTGCCTCCTGATCCAAAAATGCCTTTGCATAGTCAATGAAACACTGATAGACATTCGTCTGTTACTCTCTGCTTTCAGCCAAGATCTATTAACATTAGCTGTAATATCCTTAGTGCCACAGTCTCTTCTAAGCTCAGCCTGGACATCCGGCAGTTCTCTGTTGATATGCTGTTACAGTCCTTCTTGGATAATTTTCAGCAGGATCTTGGTTGCATGTAATATTAGTGATATTATTTGATAATTTCTACACTCTATTGGGTCATCTTTCTTTGAAGTGGGAACAAATATGGAACTCTTCCAGTCCGTTGGCCAGGTGGTTGTCTTCCAGATTTCTTGCAACAGCTTGGTGAGTGCATCCAGGGCAGCATCTGTTTGTTAAAATGTGTGCATTGGTTTGCTGTCAATCTCTGCATTCTTGTTTTTTTTTTGTTTTTAAGTTTTTGTTGTTTTTTTCTTTTGCTTTCACAGCAGCTTGAACTTCTTCCTTTACCATCACAGGCTCTTACTCATACATTGTTTCATGAAATTCTTCTGTGTCAGCAAATTCCTTTTGGTACAGTGATGACTCTGTATTCTCCTTCCATCTTCTTTTAATGCTTCCTGGATCATTTAATACTCTGCCCAATGCATCCTTAAGTATTGCAACTCGAAGCTTGAATTTGTTCTTCAGTTCCTTCATCTTTAGAAATACAGAATGAGTCTGGATACTTTGATTTTCTTACTCCAGTTCTTTGCACATTTCATTATATTTGCTTTGTCTTCCATGTGTCCTTTGAAATCTTCTGTTCAGCCTTTAACTTCTTGATTCTTTACCTTTGCTTTGGCGTCTCAGTGCTCTAGTGCAATATTCAGTCTCATCTGACATCCATCTTAGTCTTTTGTTCCTCCTCTGTCTTTGTAACGACCTTTTGGATTCTTCATGGATGATATTCTTGATATCCTCCCACAGCTCACTTGGTCTTCACTCATTAGTGTTCAAGTCCTCAAGCCTGTTCCTGAGATGGTTTTGAAATTCGAGTGGGATAGACTTAAGGTCAAGTTTTGGTTCCTGTGGATTTGATTTAACCTTTTTTAGCTTCAGCTTGAACTTGCATATGAGTGGCTGATGGTCTGTTTAACAATCAGCACCTGGTCTAGTTTTCACAGCTGATCTTGAGCTTCTCCCATGATTTGTGACTCACACATTCCACAAATTTTCAACAACTTCTAATTTTCCTAGAATCATACTTTGTACATACCACATTCTAGTTATTAATGGATGTTTCTAATTTTACATTGGACCACATCAGCAACCAAAAGTCTCAAAAGTTTTTTCCATCCATATCATTTTTCTTTTTTAAATTTTGTGTTTTATACAATCATTGCTATATCTTGTATTTCATTTATGTACACTGTGTTTTATATAATCTTTTATTTATATTTCTTTCACATGTATGAGAGCTCTGGTGGCCTAGCAGCGAGAAGCTGTGCTGCAATCCCAAAGATATGTGGTTCGAGGTCACCAGCTGCTCCACGGGAGAAGGATGGGCAATCTCCTCCCATGCGATGAATGTCTCTTGAAACCCACCAGAGGGTCAGCTGTGGGTTGGTTCCAACTCGATGTAACATAACAACAACAACAACAATAATATTGTGAGCTTTCCCCTCTCCCTAACAATCACCTTACTAATAACTACATTCTTGAAAACATGTAAGAAAGCTACTTCACGCCTTAATATTCCCATTTTAGATATCCAATGTCTTCTTTGTCTACCCTATCAAACAGTACTCTGTGGGAACAAGCATATTCTTTTTTCTGATGAATCCTCTATTCAACCTGGAAACCTTGAGCATCTCCATTCACAAGCAAGGTCCAGTCCAGAACAATCTTAGCTCACAGCACAGATCATCTTGTCCTCATCTGGCTGTGTTCTGGTCAACTCATCTTCAGTTATCTACGTAGTTGTTGATAGGTGCCATTGAGTTATGCATGACTCATAGCAACCCTGTGAATAAAAGATCTGAACTCTGTTCTGTCCTATGCTAGCCTCACACTTCCTGACACACAAGAGCCCATTGCAGCAGTCACCATGTCAATCCACCTGGTTGAGGGTCTTCCTCTCCTTTGCACCCTCCACCCTTCCCAGCATCACATATCTCTCCAAGTAACAGCACCTCTTAGCAACATGTTCAAAGCATGTGAGGTGAAGCCTCATCGTACTTGCCTCCAAAGAGCACTCTGGCCGCACCATCTCCAAGACATAGCTGTTCATTTCCTTGACCGTTCAGTGCTCTTCTCCAACACCACAGCTCAAAGGCCTCGATTCTTTTTCTGTCATCTTTATTCCTTGTCCAGCTCTCAGATGCATAGCTAATAGTCAGAAAGACCATGGCCTGAATCAGATGCACCTTAGTACTCAAACTGACATCACTACCTCTCAATAATTTGGAAAGATCCCTAACTGCTTATTTCTCCAGTGTGATGTGTCTCCTTATTTTCTGAAGCTGTTGACAGTTTCAATCTCCTCTCCATCCATCATGACACTGTCTATTGGTCCAGTGGTAAATATTTTTGTTTTCTTGATATTGAGATGCAATCCACACTGAAGGCTGCATTCCTTGATCTTCTGCAACAAATGCTTCAAGTCCTCCTCACTTTCATCAAGTAAGATTGTGTCATCTGCTTAATGCAGGTTATTCCAATCCTGATGCCACACTCTTCTTCAGAGAGTCCAGCTTCTCTGATAATTTGCTTAGCATATAAACTGCACAGGTATGGAGAGAGAATACAACTTTGACACACTCCCTTCCCAATTCCAAACCATGCAGTGCTCCCCTGCTCCATTCACACAACAACCTTCTGATCCAGGTATAGATTCCGTGTAAGCACAATCAAGGACTCTGGGATTCCCATTCTTCTCAATATCAGCCATAACTTGTCATGACCCACACAGTCAAATAAAGTACAAATATACATTTTCCTCTTATTTGTTCCTGGTGTAGCACTTGTCTGTCAGTTTGCTATACTGAGATAACTTGAGGTTATGATACTGAAATCTTTAACACTGATGTGTGAAATTCCAAAACGATTTCCCATCATGGATGGATTTTGGTGGAACTTTCTGATTAAGAAAGAAAGCAGGATGGACCTTCTACCTCCTAAGTAAAAGGGTTTTGAAAGCTCTATGAACACAGAATACCAGCTGTCTATGGGTAGGGTCAAATGGGCATCAGCCACAAACTCAGGAACCCACATTTCTCCTTGCATTACAGACCTGTTGGTCGCTTCACTCAGCCCTAGTCCCCACATGGGACCAAGTCAACAAGC